CCGAACCCCAACACAGCCCGACCAGGGAGGCGCCCACCGGCTCGACCGCCGTCAGTGCTTCTGCCGGTGTGTTGGGCCTGACAGACGAGCAGCAGGATGCTCTCCGCGGCTGGGTGGACGGCAGGCAGCTGCGGCTGCTCTACAGGTATGTGGGGTAGAAACCCGTGGTATACATACATGATGAATGAGTATGTGGTCGTTTCTGTCATTGCAGGGCGAGTTGCGATGGCTCCCGCTATGAAGATCTGCTCCGCTGTGTGGGCGACGCAGGGCCCCTGCTGTTTGTCATCCGTAAGGACGATTACGTCTTCGGGGGCTACATGGGTGACGGCCTCAAGCTCCCTGAGGATCCACGAGGATTCGACACATACAGCTGTGATCTGTGGCATTTCTCGCTGGCCGGGCACTTCGATAGGCCGACCAAGATCAAGCTGCTCCGCACGTGGGAGAAGCGTGTGACGGTGGCCGGGCCGGAGGGCAACCCGCCTCTGAAGTGCGGCGGAAACGTACGCCTCTGCATTGCTCGGCTGTTTCTCGGCACTCTAAGTCTGGCCGGTGGCGCTAATGACTCTCCTGGTGATGATGTGCTCAGCTGCCGCCACTGGGTGGACAACCGTGATGTGGCTGCGGGGTATCGTGGGTCGAGAGCTGAGCGCGGCGGCGCTGATAACGATGGAGCGGCGTATTTCGGAGGCAAATGGCGTTTTCAGGCCGACGACGTGCATGTGCTGAGCCTCTCGCAATAGCCGGCGGCTCCGTCAGGGCAGTTGTACAAGTGCCGTGGGCATGGCGCTGTGTGTCTTGAGCATGGCATACAGTGTCTGTATGCTCCGTGTGCTTCGCGCGTTCCATCTGTGCGTCTCTCTCCGTCGCGGTGTGTGTTTCGACTGGCTGTCTTTGCGTGTTTGGACTGATCTTTTCTGCTTGCTCTTTCGCTATTGCCTTTCGTTTCGCTGTGTGTCTTTCGCTTCCGTTTGTTGCCGCTTTCTTCTCATTGATCTGTGAGGACTAGACGAACTTTGTCGCCTGTTAGCGCATCTACGTTTCACTAAACGTTCAGCTACTCGCTGCTACGTGGCTTGCATGCCCCACGTGTCATCAGTCGACTGTGATTGGAGGCCAGCAGGCCCAAATCGATCTTCTTATCGGACAGTGATTATGACTTCAAGACGTGTGAGCGGGCCAAAACGCACAGATGGCACTCCATGTGCAAACAGACACCACGTCAGGCACCACTTAAACCCTCATGCAGAGGACGTCAGTCTGTCAGTCAGCAAAAACAACAGTGGAGGCAGCCAAGCCTGTCGTCAGCCAAACTCCTCCCATCCCTCCCCTCCCCCACACCGTCAGTCGATGCCCAGTGACACGAACTGCCCGCCGCTATCGATATACCCCAGCTGGCCCCACGCAAACTGACAGTCGTCATTGCCGAGATGTGTGTTGAAGCCCTTGAGGACGGCCCCCTCCGCCAGCCCCCATTTGGCCGCCTCGTCCAACCGGGCCCGGTGCACCACCTCACGCACACCCAACACACGATGCTGACCGCCAGGCTCAACCCGGACCGCGAAGCACTGCAGCGGCACACGTACCATCTGGCCCTCCACATCGGCCATCGCCCCCACCACCTCCCTGTTGCTGATCGCACGCAACGCCGCACACTTGACGAAGTGCTCGACGGCCGCAACCACACGACGGGCCACGTCGGTGTTGCTGTCGGTCAGCGTGTCGGTGATGGTCTCCTTGGCGGCCTCCGTGCCGAAGAGGTACGATGCGATGCGCCAGCCGAAGAAGGCGGCCTCTTGCGGTCCGGCTGCCAGGCGGGGGGTCAGCAGAGCGGCCAGGGACCGATGAGGGGCGAGGGCGGCATTGAGGGCCGCCATGGCCGACGTGGACAGGTCGTTGAGCACATCCGTGTACTCGATGACCACCAGCTCGCGCTGACGGCGTTGCCTATTGGTGTTAGCGGGCATGCGACCGATGTCTGCCCCCGCCCTCAGCAGCATGCTGATGATGGCCTTGTAGCGCTCGGCCTCCTCGTGCGCGCGCTTCCTCTCATTTGGCCCTAACCGCTGGTCCCCTAAGCGCCGATTGCGGAGATCACAGCATTGGGCAGCCGCAGTGAGGGGCGTCGTGTTGTTGCGGCTCGGCCTGTTGATGTCATTGGCGGACGGCAGGTGGCGGGTGAGGAAATCGGCCACATGGACAGAGCCGAAGGAAGCCGCGCTGTACAGCGGCGTTTCTCCCCAGTTGTGTGTGTCCGGTGCCGCGATATCCACCCCATTGTCGAGCAGCAGCGTCATGTAGCCCTCGATGAAAGTCTGCGAGTAGCGGCCTGCCTCTTCGAGGGCTGCGTAGACGGCCAGATTGGAGCCGGCACCGTCTGTCTGAGTGACGAGTGTTCGGTCGTGCTGGATGAGGCGACGGTAGACCTTCATCAGCTCTTGCTCGTACTGGGCCGTTTGGCGGAGGCCTGTGTTTGGGAAGGGAAGGCGCATCACCATGAAGAACCGATCGTCTCGCAGACGCACGTCGTGTGACAGCAGGATGTCCACAGCCATCACATTGGCCGCCCTAACGGCCACGGCAATGGGCCGGGTCGACATGTCATAAGCGGGGCCGTGGATGTCTGCCCCGCCGTCGATGAGCGCGATGATGACAGCCCTCTGCAGCTCGGGCGATTGCCACCTGGGCAACGCGACGGGGCGAAAGTTCCCATCCCTGTCCTCAGTCGCCAAGGCCGGCACTCCGTCAGTCACATTGTCGATGGCATAACACAGCAACGAATAATAGTGACGCCTGGGGCTGCCCCTCACATGCAGTGCTGGGCAGCAGTTCGGGTCGGCCCCCCCGCTGCTGAATGAGTGCCGTCACTTGCTGCGGGTCGGTGATGGTCCGGCGGATGACGCACTCAGACAGCTGCAGACTCGCATCGGACAAGGTGGCGCCGTGCCGGGGCACTACATCCACATCAGCAATGCTGATAGCGCCAGATTGCCCGGAGGCAGACGAACTCGAGGTCATCACTTGAGCTCCTGTGACACAACACAACACACGCAAGGGAGGCCCCTGTATCTGCGCGACCTCGGCCGTCGCCAACTTCAGGTGTTCTGTCTGTCAGCATCCCCGAGCAATGCGCATCAGCAACAGCCCTAAAGGCTCAGCTGCGGCACTCGCAACAAACCGCAACGGTCAGATCTCAGGCAGTCGAAGCTGCAGACAGCAAAGTATCAACACGCGAATGAGATCAGAGTAGAAACAGGTACTCAGCAACGCCAGAGAGCGGTTGCGGCAAGCGGAAAGAGAGGCCGGTTTCACGGGAGATCTGCGAGCTCGGTGGTGTGGTTTCTGCAGTGTGCGTGTGTGTCGTGTGGTGTGACTCGATGCTGCCTTTTTTCAGTCCCCAGCTGCTTGCAGTAGTGATCCCGCCTGCACTTTGCTCTCTTGCCTGCGTGAATGGGTGGTCTTGATGCGCGGTAGATGTCAGAAGTGCAAGTCAGTCCAGGGTTTAGGGTCTAGGGTTCATAGACCGACGATCCACTGATCTGTGAGACAGGACGGCTGTTGAGTCTT